CCTAGGCGCAAAGGCCATAATGCAATGTGCCCTGAATGTGTGTGCGCCAAATGGAGGTTAGTTTTGAAAATCTCACTCAAATAGTTCATAGCATTTAGTGATTTCCTAAGTTGCAAAACTTCATGAAAGAAGCGGCAATAGACACACTTTCTTTCATAGCCACTATGAGCACGTGGGTCAGTCACTACGGTAAATCTTCAGCCTGGCATGCAGGGTATCAAATGTGAGAGTTGGTTTAACATAAACATGATCTTGTGCATCAAGCCTCTAGGGCATTGTGCTGAAATTGTATCATCATGGGTTAGATGATATTACAGCAGGCTGTCTGGAAACATGCAGATGCATAATTTCTAACACTAGAACAGTTCACTCTTCCCACATATGAAAAGTCAACAGGTCTGCTGAACGGAATATCTCAGCTTATTCATCACATCTCCTTGTGGACTGTGTTGTGGTGGCCGCAAATGAAATCATTCTGCTTTGCCAGGTGATAAATGTTGTGTTTCTGAAAGCTTGTTAAGCTTTGATAAGGCTAAAAGTGTCCATCCTCCTCCTGTCACAGGTCGTGTGGAGTGCAGAACACTACAGGCTTCCCCACACACCTTACCACCATGTATCTTGCCACTTTACTTGGGTTTGATCCTACTCCTATTGAGGTCAATGGCAAAGCTCTCATTAACTTCACTGGTGTGTTACCAGGCCCTTGGAGAGCCTACGTGTCAAATAGGGGGGAAAAAAAGTTCTCTTTGGTTTATTTCCATATGGGGCCTCTTTTTGAGAGAGCAAATACTGCCAGTTGGACCAAAGTTGATTTGTGCTCTAGTTCTTTGGGACTGAAGCCAATACTGCCAAACTCAGCACATGTAGAAAATGTTACTGTCACATCATCAGAATAAGTTCCAGTCCCTTTGGTTGATGCTGGATTCAAACCAGGGTGCTTCAGGTGAAAGGTCAGAGACTGAAAATTAAGTTGACAAAGAGCTATATTCCTTCTCCCTTCTTTAACAAGGAAATCTAGGCAGATTAATTAACTCCTGCTCCACGCTTGGCCAGCCAGCCAAGTATGCATCTGTCCCCACCCCCCTTGTGACAGACAATTTTTAATTCACATCCTCATGGTCTCCATTCAACAGGTCTGAGTTAGACTGCTGCATTTCCCACGCAATAGATTAAAACTTGAAACTGAAAAACATCTTTAGCATATGACTGTCATGAATCATTTATTTAAAAAAATGCTGACTGAGATCTCTGTCTACTGCATATTCACCTCGCCTGTCTGCAAAATGTAATTTAAATTACCATATTGCTTTAGGAGCATTTTGTAATCCTAGCTATACCAAAGGCATCTGGTTTCACAGGATAGGCAATGGCAACTAGTAGGATTTCTGTTAACTGACAGTTAACTGCTGTCAAGTGAGACTGTGGGATACACCTGAAAATGTTACTATTAAGGCTACATATAGCCAAAATAAAGTAGTCAGTGGTTCTACCAGTCAGTGTTTTGCCTCCTTTACTGTTTGATTGAAGGATTATCACCATCTCTCTACTTCATTTTCCAGTTGTGTGGTTTGGAAGATATTTAGGGCTCCAATGGGTTATCTAAGTTAAGTCACTGAACAAAGTCTTTCTATTGACCCCAGTGGGCTGTGGATCAGGCCCTCCTTTAAACCAGAAGTATGAGGTTCTCCTGCTCTTTGTTTTACTAAGAGACAAGGACACAGGCCCAGCTCCTCAGAAGTATTTAGGTGCCACTGACATTTTCAAAAAACTGTCACTCCGCTGCTGCTTAACCATGTAGGTAGGTAGGTAAGTCCCCGCAGGGACCAAAGTTTCTGCCAGCGGGCAGTTGCCAGCTCCAGTTCAACAGCTATTTGAGCTGTTTGGAATCCTAACTCAAACCAAAGCCCCAGAGGGCCTGAAGTGGGATTCTCAAACTAGGTGCGGGGAATGCTTATCTCCCCAGTGGGGCTCAATCCTGTAGGTACTCTGAGTATGGCTCAGACCTGAGACCTGTCAGTCTCTGCAGCAGGAGGGTGGATGCAAGTCACTAGTAGATGGGGGTGCGGGGTAGCACAGCACATGCACAAGAGATATCTGGGGTCACGGGAAACGTAGAATGACAGAGAGAGGTATTGAACAGCAGCAGGAGAAAGAGTTTTAGGGCACAGGCAACTTAAGTGGCTGACCTGGTTTAGGTGCCCAATTCCAGAAGAGGGTTTGTGGCTGAGGTGCCTCTTTCAGGCCTGTCAGCCTGGCATACGAGGTCAGCCACTTAGTGACTAAGGGCTGGTCCACACTAACCCCCCCAGTTCAAACTAAGATACGCAACTTCAGCTACGTGAATAACGTAGCTGAAGTCGAAGCATCTTAGTTTGAACTACAAGGTACTTACCGCGGGTCCACATGTGGCAGGCAGGCTCCCCCGTTGACTCCGCGTACTCCTCTCGCGGAGCAGGAGTACCGGTGTTGACGGTGAGCACTTCCAGGATTGATTTATCGCGTCTAGACAAGACGCGATCAATTGATCCCAGAAGATCGATTGCTTACCACCGAACCCGGAGGTAAGTATAGACGTACCCTAGGCCTCTCTTCTCTCTGCCTCTCTCCTGGTGGCTCAGCTGGCTCCCTGCTCAGCTTGTTGGCTTTGAGGATCCCTTTCTTAGGCTTCTAACTATTCCCATGAATTAGGGATCCTGACTGCCTAGCTCTGGGATGAGGATTGCACTAACTGGCAGGCCACCTAGGGGGAAAACATTGCAGTGCTGAGCAGAGCAGCACCTAAGTACCTTGAGAATCTGGCCACTGTGTCTTTGTGACAAGATTAATAGAATGATACCACTCCATACGTAGCAGTGTCTGCCTTGTGTTTGTTATTACAACTTATTTGTATCACAATGCCGTTATTCCTGCATAATATTTTCCCCACTTTCCTGCTCATGATGCCCCTTACACTTCTTAGAACAGACTCCTTTCAATGCATCTTCCTTTTCCTTCCACTCCCTCACAAACAATATTCATCTCCTGAAACATTTGAAAAATAACTACTGTAACATTGCAGTACAAACTTCAACTCCTAGTAGCACTAAGTGTAATATATAGACACCAGGTTTTTCCTAGAATTAGAATCCATTCATTGCAGCAGAGTTATGCTCCAGAACCTAATTTTTTTGTTTTCAAAAGTGGTTTCTAGTGCTTGTGATGGTAACCTTAAAAATATGAAACAAAGCATAAACCAATGCTGTCTCCCTAAGTCTGCATGCAGTCTGAAACAATAGTTTTGAATACAGCTGGAGGAAACTTCCAGAATTTCAAAATTTTCAATCAATTTTTTGTCCCAAAACTCTATTTTGACCAAAAACCAAATAAAAACCAGAGGTAGACCCAAAGAATTTTTAATTTAAAATGTATTTTTCAACCAAGAGAGCTGGTTAAATTTTAAATAAAAGTCAAAGCCTATGAAATGATATTTTAAAAAATAAAATAGAAAACTAATTTTTTTAAAAGATACCTGCAAAATAGTCTCTGATTTTTGAGCAGCTTTAGTTCTGAGAGAGCTATGAACTACAGCACTCAACTCACTGTCTCTACAGTGAATTTAAATGACAACAATGCTAACATGAGTATTTCACTGCTGATCACTTTAGCATTGAATGTATTTGGCACAAACTCCCAAAGATCTGAGCAGACCAGAATGTTCCCTATACTGCTTGCAAAACCTCCTGCTCCCCTTCTAGCAATTTCTATAACAAGGAGTCCTACTCACCACCAGAAACTCTCCCCTTATAGCCACAGCTGGGTAGTAGGTTGGTCAGTTTTATGCCCCTTCTTACAGGTGCTCACTCGGTCTCTTTCCCTCACAAGGCTCAGCCCCAGTCTTCATAGCTCAGCCTTGCTTCCAGCTAGGTCACTGCAGTTTTCCCCTTCTGATGGTGGGGATTGTGTTCCAAAGTCTTTCTGTACCAGCAATTCCAAACAGGCTTCCAATTCACTGCCTCTTAATGGTGCTACTTCTCCACTAGCTGTTAGGGGATCTTGGGCCCACCCTCGTCTCCAAGTTCCAGCCCAGGGACCCCACAACCAGCAACTAAGGTCTGCACTATCCTCCCCTTGCTGCTGCTGTTGTTGTTGTTGTTGTTTGTTTTCATGGATTGCTTCCTGCACCTACTCTCCCTAGCCACAGAGTAATTGCAGATCTCTTCCTACAGCCCCTGTCTGCCCTCAGCTATCTGTTTTTTACAAGCTCTGCCTGGTCCTGCCCAGATGAGCTTAATCCTTTAATTAGTTGCTCCCTGGCTCCTCCTCCAGGTGCAGCTTAAGTGGTTAAAGGGCCTACCTAGCCACCTTTAACCCCTTAAGGGATGGGTGTGGGGCACCCCATACAGTGGTTACATGTTCTAGTTGAAAAAAAATCTGTGACATAATGAAAACTGGGGGACATTGTAGTATAACTGGAATGTAATATGAAAATAAATAACAATTGATAGGTACAACTTGTATCATTCCTTTTCATATTTAATTCAATAAATGCAAAGCCATCATCACATTTTCAGTTTGCTGCACTGAGGTGAAACAAAAACCAGGGGATATTGCTCTAGACCAGGGGTGGCCAAATTTACTGACCCTCCGAGCCATATACAATAATCTTCAGAAGTTTAAGAGCAGGGTGCACCAGCTGGGTCTTCGGACTTCTGCCCTGTGGCAAGGTACTGTGGCTCGGGGATTCTGCCCTGAGGAGAGCGGGGTCTCTAGGTTTCAACCCTGCTCCTACTGAAGTCCCAAGCCCCAGCAGGTGCACCCCGAGTCCCAACAGGTGCCTCCCCCGGGGCTGAAGCCCCATCACTCTGCCGCATGGCAGAAGCCCCAATCTCCCCTCAACACAGTCTGGTAGGTGGAGAATGGGGGGGCATGCAGGGCTCCGTGACCTGCATTTCAACTGTAAAAGAGCCACATGCGGCTCAGGAGCCATTGTTTGGCCACCCCTGCTCTATAATTTAGATCCTTACAGCTTGCCACAGAGTACATAGGAACATATGAATTGCCATATTGGGTCAGACACAAGTTCCATCTAGTCCAGTATCCTCTCTCTCTGTGGCCAGCACCAAATGCTTCAGAAGAACATGCAAGAAACCCTACAGTATGCAGTTGTGGGATAATTTGCCTTCTATGAATCTTAACACCTTATATTAGATTGGCTGAAGCCTTGAAGCATGAGTTTTAATAATCCTTCAAAAAACATTTTAAGCCTATTAAAATCTATTATTAATGTATTTAAATATTTGTATGTACCGAAAAATCTCTTCATTAAGAGCCTCCTTCTGTTTGTTTGTTCAAATAAATTATTTCCCTGATGGTGGTACCAAAATCATTCCCGGCACAGAAATTATGATATCACAAACACCGATTTATGGTGTCATGAGACGTATTGCCTCTTTGCAAACATTTATCTTCAAGAAATAGTCACACCCCCACAAACACACAAAAGACAAAGTGCATTAGTTGTAGATGACAAGTGGTATACTAAAGTACAGCATATATACAGATGGTGTTGGAATGTTTGTGTAGTTTAGGTTTCATTCAAGAACTGGGGTTAGGTTGTGCTAGAGTTGTGCCTGTTTACACTGGGGTGTATTTTTTTCCTTGAATGGATAAATTATGCACTGACTGTGAAAACAATACTAGTTCACATTGCCAAATGGTTGCCTGTCAATTCTAACTTTTACTACCAGCATTATATATGTTTTAACTTTCAGGTTTTGGAGGCATACTATGCTGCCTATATAATCAAAATTGTATAACAATGCATATCCTGTAGAGGCTTTGTGATAGGCGAACCTCAAAAGGTTTGATGGTAGGAGTTTGATTTGGATAAATACCCAGAATTCTGGATACTTCTCTAAAGTATCTGAACCTTCTGAATGAAAATTTTGAGCTGGAAATCTCATGAAAACAGGCTTGCCAATGGGAATCGTTGTACTAAGATTCTACTTCCTGTCAGTACTATGAGAACAGCCTTGCTCATGCTATTTTGGTGCTCCCATTTTCAACCCTGGACAGAACAAGAAAGTCCAGAAGTGTGTTGAAACTAAAAACAACCTGACAAATCCATAGGTCAAGATTGTCAGTATGATGCATGCTGTGGTCACTCAGAACTTCATGGCAGTAGGGGGACAGAAATCAGACTTTCCTGCTCCAAAGATACAGACTTCTACCTAAGGAAAACCTCTGTTAGAGCACATATGCTCATTTAATTGTCCACTGAATTACACCAAAAAAAATTAGTGCCATTTCATTGTCTTTAGTGAAGTTATAGGATTTGTTGTCTTTACATCACTTTTTGTATGAACACCCATCTTCACCCAGTTTAAAGGCAGGGCCATTATATTCAGTAGCAATGGTAATCAGCACTGACTTTTAAACAATAATAACTTGTAAATGGCTTAAACCACTAGTTTATTGGACCATGCAAAGCAACTCTTTCTCCCTGACAATAGGCTAGCTGCATGCCATATTTGAAAGGTTAAAATTCAGCCACTTTTCATCTTCCCCCCAACAAACTGACTGAACACATTTTTAAAGCACATACATTGAATTTTTTTATTCCATCTTAAATATAACTATATTACTACAATAGCTAGAACTGCTCAAATAATGAGGAAAAGAGGTTTAAACATATTTGCAACTAGATGGCTTGATCTGAATTTGCTACCACTCATGGGGCTGATATTTCCAAATATTTGACCAGTCATTGGCATTCGTGAATGTATTTGTGTTGTGTATATAGTGTGTTATTCATGACTGTTTACATTTATTATTCTCCTGTGAAAATGTCAGTCACTCAGTTAGGGAGTGGAACCAGTACCAGGCTATTCACAATTTGTGATTTCTGGTTAGTTGTCGTGAACCAATCAGTTTGCAAACCATCCACAGTCTAAAAACCACTAGCCCAAATAAGTCAGCAAATATGGATGAAAAACATATGCAGTCTCAGAAAGGCTTTGTGAATTGATTACCAGAAAACAAAGGGGGCCTAAATTCATAACATTTTTGGTTTGTTAATTACCGCTTGAGCCGCTTTGACAATAAGAAAGGGGAATGTGTGTTCCAGGTGTACCTGGGAGCCCAGGGCTAACATCTGTAATCTGCCTATCATTTTGAAAAGTATTTTTATGTTAATTATGTGGTGGGGGATTTTTTGCTAGCATCTAAGTTTCTAAATTGTCTTTTTCTTTAAAAATGATCTTGGTATATTTAAAAATGTTAATTTCTACATGAAGATTCATTCCTCCACTTTAGGAAATGCATCATGCACCAAACTACTTCGAAACAGTCATAGAGCAAGCTGGTACTGTACAAAACAAAGACTTTATTTGTACCAGATATTTGTAAATAAGTCATTGACACTTGTGCAATAACAATAGCAGCTCCAAAAATAACACAGAACTGCCAGCATAAACAAGCTTCCAATGAGATCCACTCTATGTTGCAGATCCATCAGGGTCAGTCACAGCAGTGGTGCTCAGAGTAATAGCTAAGGGAACAGATGGAGTTCTGCAGCGCAGCAGCAGTCACCTCCTGCTTTCTTCTCTTCCTTCCTTTGCAGCTGCCTTTCAGCAAAAGGAGGTGGACTGGGAATCCTAGGCCACCAACAGGCTGTTGTCTATGCTAACTCTGCTCAAACTGAGTGTTTTTCTGAAAAGTTTTGACACATCCACAACCTGTAGAAACACGGAGGTTTGACGAGGCAAGAAAGCAACACCCGGGGGAAATGGCCGGGGCAGAGTTGACTTGACATTTTTTAAAAGAATTTTTCCTAGTTTGTGCCTCCCACCCAGAAAATCCTAGTTCTCCGCTCTAGGCTTTACTTCCATCCCACTCCATTCTTCTTGTATTGTAAACCCTTACGGGTCATCTGCAGGGATCTCACGCAGCAGATTCTCTTCTGCACATTCCTTGCAACAGGAGCAGCTCCCTTTCTCCCCTGTCCTTAGGCCTTTGTGTAGGGAGTGTCAGCAGTGGAATCCATACCCCAAGCACCTGATCACCTCGGTCCTGTCCCTCCTTCCTTCAATCACTTCCTATGCCTCTCTCATCTCCTACTATGCTGCACTGAGCAGGTAAGCCGCTGACTGGCAGAGCAGTGAGAGGGCATTAGGAGGATGAGAGGAAATATGCCGCTGCTCAGCAACTCTGACAATGGCCATTAACAGAAAGAGCAAAACTTTTGAGGAATTTTTTTTCCCTTCTCCCAGCCTCATCTACTGACTAGAGCTGGTTAAAAAAAAATATCCAACAAAAATTTTTCATGGAAATGGGTTTTTTTGCTGAAACAGAAGTTTCCTTGGTAAATGTCAGTTTTCTCTACTTTTTTCCTCACAGGTTTTCAAGAATAATCATGCTGTGATTAATATCAATATGCTATATTGTTTGAGTACAATCTCTGGCTATTTTCTATCTGTGTTCTCTTACCACGGTGATCATTGGGTATCTGAACAGCTGTTCTATTCGATTTCCTAGACTCTGAATATTATTCGCATGCAGATGGGGATATTTTTATTTAAAAAGTAGTTATTCTTGATAGCTTATGGAGCAAATTCTCCTCTCAGTTGCATATACACCACATATCAGTGAACAGATACCATTAATTGAAAAGTAGAAATCTCTGCTTCTTGAATGAGCAGCTAAAATAAATGTTTTTTTGTTCTTTAGGCATGTGTATTAAAGTAAATGGCAAAACTCCTATTGACTTCAGCATCCAGCCTGTAGTATACAGTGTTGCCAACTCTTGTGATTTTATTGAAAGTTTCATAATATTTGGTAGGCTTTTTTTCTTGTGTTTTTTTTTTTAACTCCAGCAGTCAAGAGTCTGCCTGAAAACCTCAGCTTTAAAAAAAGTTTCTAGCCCTCTTAGTGCTGTAAAATAATATGAAAATATGAAACAAATGCACCCTATAAATCCAGAAACCAGCTGACAACTCAAAAGAATCCCAATTTTTAAAACTATCTAATGATTTTTAAGCCAGTCTACATATTTGGGGGCCCGACTCATGATGTTTTGGCAATACTGAGTACATCTTCCAATCCACCCTATTCAGTAAAGACCTACACTTAAACAGCAGGCAAGGAATGTGGGTAAATATTTTTGGGAAAAAGGACATTTAATATATTTCATCTTATTATACATTATTTTTCTAAATTACAAAGTCATCAGGCAGCACATATATTCTGCTACAAAGCTTTTTGTAAGAAATATCTCTATAAGAAAATACATCTCATTAAAAATTTCCTGTAAATAAATTACTCCAAATACTAAGTTTTGTGCGGAGAAGGGGAGGTTATGCAGAAGTCAGGACGTAAGATGCAAATCACTAGGGGGGGCCAATTCTGCAACCCCCTACTTACATCGAGTAGACACACTGAAGTCAGTGAGACTGATCTTATATGCATGTGCTGTTATGGTGTAAGAAAGGGTTTCAGAATTGACCTTTGTATTTCAGTTGTTCTGCTGAAATGATTCACTTTCCAGACTTTATTTCTGTTCTCAGTTGCACTGAAGTAATTCCATTGAAGTCACTGGAGTTGCAGTAATGTAGCACTTGTGACAGTGAGATTGGAATCGGATCATCACTTTTTAAGGAATACGAGAGCCTATCTCTACATACCATTCCCTTTATAACAATAAAAACTGGCTTGCATATGAAAAATATTATCCTATAAATCATTCTCTTTAATCTGGTATATATGTTGGAATTTAGATTCTTATCAGAGATACAGGAAGCATAGTTCAGATCTGATTTCCAGTAAGAAAGTTTGAGTCAGAAGATGTATATGAACCACTATTTGTACAAAAGGCACTGGTGCAGAAATGCAAGGGTGGGGAAAGGTGCCATAAAGGGAGAGGGGGGGAAAAGTCCAAAGTTGGTCTTCACAATTAAAATAAACTACTCTGCTGTACACAAGCTGTTTGGAACTGATTAAGCAAAGGGGAGAGCCATTGTCTTATAAAATGTGGAAACAGATATTTCAGTAAGTTAATTATATAATCAGTTGTTTTAAAAAGAAATTCCAGTCTCTTTACTTACGTTTACACAGATAACATTCTTTAAAATAAGTGAGCAAAGTAAGAGGAGGTGTAAAGACATTAAGAGAGAAGTCAGATGGTGGACATCCTTCGTTTTAGCCAGTTCACGAACAGGGTAGTTATGTTAACAGATTTCTTTACCCACTGTAGTCAATGTGAATCCACTGTTCACAACAATATCCAAACTTTTAGCATGCATTCAACCAGAACCTGTTCTCTTTTCAGTCTGAGCTGTTGTGTCACATCACATGATGGCTCGCAGCATGTCATAGATGACAGCATCACATGTCACTGTCTGTTCTTTAGGAGAGGCGATGAGATGCTTGCAAAAGTCAACTTTTTAATTTTTTTGCTGACTGTGCAAGGTGAATCCAATCCATTTTAGCTTCTCCAAATCATGGAAGAACCAGATTTACACTAACAGCCTATTGTTACTGTTACAGTATAAAACTTTTAATTTATTAGCATACAACCTAATTGTAGCAGATGCAGGTAGCATCTCTTATAGTTAAGGTTGCAAAACAATTTCTGTTATAACCTTCCATATTCAGATGTTCATAACTTTTCAAAATATCACCTTTATGGAACTATCCATAATGCAAGCATGTTCTGACAAAAAACTATATTTAGTAGGTCTACGAGCAACTGAATGGGTATCATTCTGGATGCATCATGCACATATTTTGCTTTATCTGCTCAGCCCATGTATGCTAGCAGTATACCGAGACAAATACAAGCTATTAATTATAGTAACTGAAGATGAACCGATTAAGGCATTTCAGTTTAAATATTTATAGAATTATATATATATTTTAAACAAAAAAAAACCCTGTTTAAATGCCTCTGATCAGAAGAACTGCCACTGGTGTTTTGAAATCACTGTGTGGTGAGATTTTGCCATTCCCACTGGGGCCTGCAAAATCCAGCACTCTTGCCCTGCAGGAGTGCTTCCCTTTTTCAAGTGACAGCCCTGATTAACAAGGTGTGTGGACATTCACAGTAACTTTTATTCCCATCTCTAACAGCTGCGATTTATCACTAATATTTTAGTAGCCAATAATGTGTTGACAGAAAAAGTCTTCCTGTAAAGCACTGCTTTGTGTTGGAACATGCTGTATACAATTTATTTAACAGTCTATTACCATGATGGAAACCTATCCCACCCCTAACACTGAACGCTTGAAAAGTCAGGGGACCATGCAGCTTGATAAATGTCAATAATTTCCATTGTGCTTTTTTATAATAGCATTTTCCACAAACTGTCGAAATTATTTACACAAAGAAGTTGCATAATGGAAAAACTCCAGCCGCCATCGCATTCACCTCCAGTTCAAAACAAATGCAGTTTGGGGTGATTTCTATTCCTACCACAATCATTACTTTAACCATTCTGTGTTTATTTACAATCCTCATTTCCGACCATGCTGCAATCCAAATACACAAATTCACAGTCTGTTAGTAACATTTTTCCAATCCTCATTCAGATTTTCTGACATACATGAAGTCTTGATTTAGAAGAATAAGTGGCATCTTTCCATACTTTGCAAGACAGCCCTTTAGCACAGTCACATCGCTGGAAAATCTCCAAGCCGTGAGAGCCTTTTTTGCGCTGTTTGGTACACACCTCTCCCTGATGCAACACAGGTTTGCAAATTTTGGTCCAGAAATGGCGAGCACAGCAGTACCCCTCAATGCAGTCTGATGATCGTAAGCAGGGGTCTCCTTCATGCCCTAAAAAGCAAACAAAATATTTCAGTGCCTGAGACAGAAAGTATAGATTCAGAATAGTCTGGCTCAATGTTGACTAAGAAACAGAGGATATGATACTCATCGGCAGGTATTTGAAGTACATAAACACCAAGGCCTGGGGGGAGATAGAGAGGTGCAAGGAGGATATCAATACAATCTACTGTAAGGCCTGATAATGAGAAATTCAACTAATGAAGCCTCATGGTCACAAAGGCATGTGTTACATATTGCATGATCATTACAAGATAAGTAAGATGCGGCCTGCACAGATTGCACAAATGGATAATACACTTTCCCACCTACATCTGACACATGGCTTACAGTAAAGGAACAAATGCTATTCGGAGCACAGAGGCTATGACTGACATATACAAGCAAATTGGTATAATATCGTTTGTGGTCTGTGAATTCTTGAGATATACAGATGATGACAATTCCAGACCTCCCAACATTTCATAGCAGATTACTGTAAGTCAGCCTGGTCTGCGTTGCTGTATCTTGTCTTTCTACAGCGAGGTGAATGAACTGGACTATATTGCAAAAGCAATCCTACCTTTTATGTGTGACAGCTTGGACTGTGGTCTCCCTAGATTCTGCCATCCCAAGTCCTTGCTAGAATAAAGACCGTTTTTCTTGTTGCGTGGTCCTTCCAGAGCGGGGATGTGTGGAGTAAGGATGCTTTCAGTTACTGGTATGCAAATACCTATGGGAATGAGATGTTAGAAATGGGAAGGCCTATTAGAAGGCTGAGAGACAGTGTTGTCCAGTCAATAGGGCACTGAACTGAAATTCAGAAGGCCTGGGTTCTATTCACAGCTCTGCTAATGACCTTGAGCAAATCACTTCACCTCTCTAAATTTAAATTAATGGAGATGTCCCATCTCCTAGAACTGGAAAGGACCTTGAAAGGTCATTGAGTCCAGCCCCCTGCCTTCGCTAGCAGGACCAAGTACTGATTTTGCTGCAGATCCCTAAGTGGCCCCCTCAAGGATTGAACTCACAACCCTGGGTTTAGCAGGCCCATGCTCAAACCACTGAGCTATCCCTTCCCCCTCTGTGCCTGTGTATTTCCCCTCCCACCGTATGTCTGTCTTGTTTATTTGGATTCCAGGCATTTTGGAGCAGGGACTCCAAATCCTCGTACCACAGGATCTCCAATCTCAGGTGGGGCATCAGCAATATAAACAATAACAAGAATACATTATAACTTCCAAGGCATTGTTTTAGTGGACTAACACCACGGATGATTTTGCTTCTTTACATTTACTGAAAAAGAATGATTATCCAGTTTGCTATTGAATCAGTGAATTAATCCATATTTTAAGTAATCTGTCAGCCACCCATAGTTTAGTCATGAAATATAGGTTTTGTTAAAAAAAAACCCTAAAAATCTAAAAAAACCTAAAAATCTAAAAGATGGCAGAGAGGTGGTTCACAATACCTTAAATGAATAGAAATGTACTATGACATCACAGAAAATTCAATGAAAAGGGGGATTTAAAAAAATAGTAAACATTCCCCTGCTGTATTAGTGTGAAACACAACAGCACTGCATTAACACAAGAGTCGTGAATTTGACCAGTCACTGCATGACCAAACTCTAAATGGCTAGTTATGCATCGAACTTCCTATTGCCACGTACAAATACAGTTTGAGCATGCAATCAAAATAACTGCACCCAAACACGGCATACAGTTGCCCACACAGTTTTGAAAATCATGTATTAGGTTTCTTACTAGCAGAGCAAAATCACGGAATCTCTTCTAATCACAAGGAAGAAAGAATATGACATATTTATACAAGCCCTGTGTTGTTATAAGTTTTTTGAGATGTTTCCTATTGGTCTGAAGAAGGAATTGTGGTAACCCAAACAGAACTACTACTACACATGTCCTCTGCTTACATATGTTGTCAATATATGCTATTAAACCAGTCATTGTCATATATAAAAGGAAAACAAGAAGAGTGCTTAAGTACCATTGTTACAGCGGTTCCCAGGGCAGCACATGCCGTCTCTATGGCAACGCTTCTTTTTCCTTCTGCAGATCATGCAGGCAGAAGTAGCTTGATGAGGACTATGGCAGTATCTCCCAACTTCACATTCTTTATCATTAGTGCAAGGGTATGCCTGCTCAAGAAAAAAAGGATTTAAAATAAAGTAGTAATGCACAATAATTCTTAATTCATATAGTTCACATCATATTAGCGAAACCAAAGCAAGAAAAACTAAATGTGAGAGGTATGTTCAGGAGGAGGGGGGGAAAAGGGGAAGAATTTATCAGATCCAAGAAGGGGCTAAAAGGGGGTGAAATGAAGGTGTGCTTCTCTATGGCAATTTACAGCTGGCATATGGTCATTCAGGGACCTATGGCCAGCTTTTATAAGTTAGAGCAGCCTATCTAACTGATGTTGGAGCTGTGGCAACTTAAGAATCAGGAAGCCATAACCCCAGCTCCTTAGTAGCCTTATTCCTTCTTAGATCAAGCATATCTTGGTGCAAGAGAGAATCTGGCCTGTGTTTTTTAATGTATTCCAAATTATTGAGGCCTGTAATTAATACATAAAACCTCAGTAATCCAAAGTAAGGAATAAGCAGTTTTATCTTTGGTGGAGACCACCTGGAAGAGAGTAAAACTCTCAAAGTGTCCTCTACACTGGATCTTATCTAACATCTGGGCTAAATACTTCGGTGGCATCTTTACTTTGAAAGGTTCCAAAGTCATGGTCAAGAACATGGATGAAGAGACCTTTCCCATAAGCTCATGATATTTACACTGAATACTCCTACATTGGTACAAATTCTTCTTTTGCATGCACACTGCTCCCACTGACACCTATCAGGGGATACTTTGAAAGCAAATAGTATCAACAATCCTCCTAGCCTGACTGCCACTAAGGAAGGAACACATGGAACACTCCTGTACTCATCAAAACCATAATTCTCTTCCACTAAGACCTCTCTTTGACACTTTTTCATGTGAGAATAGCAGAATATGGCCCTAAGGAGAGAGAAAAAGAAGCTCTGTCCTTCCAGATCAGACATAATGCTTCCATGAGACCCATATAAGGACCCTGGCCCATTCCAGAAATCCTACCACTGGCTCCCAAGCAGCTGTCATTGTGCATCACTGCTGTATCTGATTGAAAGGATAATTTAATATGCACTACTTACACAAGCAAATATATACTGTTATGTTATCTCACATGAATTAATTCAAGACTTTCCACACACGTGCTTTAAAATTATATTCAATGTTTTATTTAGTTTTCTATTTAACTTTTTGGATTTGGGATATTAACATGTCTCTCAGAACTAGTGCTGAGAGAAAAAATAGTTTCCCAACAACTGTCAAAAAATGTTGAGGAATTTTTGAAATAATTCCCTCCCCCCAAATTTACACTGAAAACAGTCCAAATGATTAACGCAATTATTTGTTTACCATACTAGCTAGATTACAGCTAGCTCAATTATGCCTACCTGAGCTGCAAACATCAGTGTAGACATCCCCAAAGCCCATTTCCCAACCAAAGAATTCGCTCCCTGCACAATGTGCAGTATTTAAAAAGGCCATTTTCTCACATATGAACATGTAGTAATAACAAATAAACACTTGGCTATTTTTGAACATTTGAATTTACCAGTCTTCCCTCAGTGGCATTTACTCCTTCTCCTTTGTAGATGCCTCAGAAGCTGACACTGCTGCTTCATGGATAGTGGAGGGAGAGAAGGTGCTTGGGGGGGCTGACTGGAATTTGGTAATTTAAATGAGGGGGATGCATTTAACCAGGAGCTTCCTCATCCTACTCCTTACCGAATGGGGTATCTGATTTCCCTAAACCGTATGGGGCATCTGATTCCCTAAACCAATCTGGCTTGACTTTCAGTGCATACCTAGGAATATCAGGGAGCACAATCCCTCTCTGAGCTCTCAGCATGCAGGAAAAGTATGCAATTAGCATATCTAGCTCTACAAGCTGCTGCAATGAGGGGGATGGAGCCATGGCCCCCTTCTTATCTCCAAGCACTTGTTTTCAGGGATATATGAGGAGAGCAATCTCTGGGCTTACTGGATATAATCCAATGCCTATTAAGTCATGGAAAACTCCAACTTGACCTCAGTGGACTCTGTAGCATGCTTCTTGAGCACAGGAACTGCAACTGTCCATTGCCTCTCCATGGGAATTGCAGAGGAAAGTAAAGGGATCCTTTGTGTCCACTTTCCTACTCAAGGACCAGGGAAAATCTTTTCCTTTGGTGTTTACCCTCTTCAGTATTTGTAGACAGTTATGCTTCCTTTAGTCATTGCTTAATCATGCTGTAATTCCCTCATAAATCAGCCCCTCCACCAGGCATGTCATGATTTGGTTTGGCAAAACTTAATAAAGTGTAAGTACTTATCTGAAGTTATCCCAGCCCCTTTGATCTGGGAATTTGGCTATAAAGCCCTAAAGAACTAACTGGTTTTCTTGTGAGATTTCCAATAGGGTACTTCCTGATTTCAGTTAAGCAGGAAATGCCACTACGTAGTGTGAAGGTAATCCAAAGAGTATCTTTTTAATTAAGAAGTTAACCAAAACTTTTTGCATCTCATTTTTTTGTTGGTTTGTTTGTTTTTGTTTTAAATATAACAGTGAGGGAAATGAACAAAGCATTGGCCTCAGCTTTCAGTTTCCTGGGTTCTGTTGGTTTGCATCACTTCACCTTATCCTTTTTTATAGTAGAGTTTTGTCTTCACTGTAACAATCTGCCTGGAGATACTGGTTTTGAGAGAGCCAGCTGTTCGCCAGTGATGTGTCAAACGAGTGGGAATAATTTAAAGCCTGAGATGGAATTTTTCACTGTGTTACGAAATGTACCATTATCAACAGTGGCTGAGCCAGTTTATAAATAAAACTTTAAAGCATTGAATTATACAAATCATGGAAAATCTATTTTTTCACACAATGGTAAATTAGCACAGCTGCTCTACTGAGCTGAGTTCATTTTTTGTGGAAAATGTAAAGGCTGAAACTTATTCAAGCAGTGAACTTGATTGACCTTGATCATGGTTCACTACATTGACTGCTGGGGTTAAGTAATCAAGTAACCATTCAGGGGTAGATTGCCTGTACCTGTCCTTGCATAGGTATGCAGGGGGCAGACAGCCAGGATCCTTCCACCCCACACAAGGACAGGGGATGAGCACAGCTCTTGCATTTGGGGAACTGCAAGGACTGCTTCCTCCACGCGTCCCTGGGGGTGCAAATTAACCCAAAAGGGGCAGGGAAGAGGCAGGGCCATAATTCATCCTTCAAGTCTTCCTTCCCCAACTAGGACAGCAGAGATAGACCCGCTGCAAAAAGAGCAGCATGCTCACCATAGCTCTTGCGACTCCTCAGCTATGGGGCACCATGTCGCTCTCAATGGCTCTAAATGTTCATCCACTAAGCACATCTCTGATTATACAGGAACCTCAATGAAACTGATAGATAATATTTAGCACTCACTGCAGCTTCATTTAGATGCACTCATTTCATGTTTTCAGCCCAAAATTAGACTTGGTCATTCCAATAAAACCACAGAATAATGCAGATCGGATCTACGACAGGAAGTTGGAAGCTCAAGTTGCATTATTAAATCTAATAACAGACGCTTTGTTTTTACAGGGTTTGCTGCTCTCCTCCTCTCCACCCCTGCCCACAGTTTCAGTCTGTTATGAGCCTATTCATAATAGATATTGCTGATTTTGGTGGCAAGAAACCACATTTCAAAGACTTTGTTGAATTACAGCTGGGTTAGAGGACTCTGCAACCAGAGAGATTGAATTTTGCTTTCCAACGGGTGTCTCTGGAAGTGCATCTCTCAGTTTGTGTCATGGCATTCAGGTGGATCAGTCCTCAAAGACTATCCTGTTCAGCCACGTCATGGAGAGGTATGGATGGTTAAGTCTAAAAAAAGACCCCCTGAAAAAGTGATTTTGCTGCATTCATAATGCCAAGGGCTGAGAATGAGTCATGGGAATATTCAGGGGAAATCACAAAGGGGCCCATGGAAAAAACCTCAAAAGTGGATTATTTTTAGTTTTGAAAACATCAGCAGTATTGGCTGAAAACATCAGGACATAGTTTGTGGTAAAACTAATCCTTATTTTTCCACTTTTAGTACAAGCTGTGATAGGGCAATGTCCCTCTCTTGTCTTCAGCTCTGTCTACACGGACTCTGAGACCTTCACTTGTTAAACATCCCACCGCCTTACTGATCCATACACCATAGGCATTTACAGTTTCAATCTTTCTTCAGTTCTCTGCCAAGAAGAGGAGAGGGAAAAGATCATTCTCTACCCAGAGATCCTTCCTAGCTCTGGTTCTAATAGCTTGCCTCTCTTCTCTGCGCTTCCTTACTGAGCCTTCTTATATCTCCTTCGTTAATGGGGCAATTTGCTCACTAGTGCTCCCCCAGTCCATTCTAATCCACTAATTAGGCCTGGTCAGGTCCAGCCTGAGGGGAATTAATTGGTATTCAAGTGACAAGAGTACTGACTTGGATGTTGGTTCCCAGCTCTCTGTCACTGATCTCCCCTTCTTGCTGCAGGTCCTGTTTTTTTCTTTCCTCAGGTCTTCCTCCCTTGCCTGAGGTGTTACTCTGCCGGAGTCTCTCCTCATCCCCCAGGATGGTTATCTGGGGTCCCCTTGTGGAGTCCATCCATTCTTCACCCACAGAAATTGCATTTGATGGGCAGAGGTCACCCCCACAATTCTGCTTCTGCCCATAGGTCCTCATATCATGGGCAAACTATGGGATCAGCCTCCGTATCCTAAACCCCTTTACTTTGTGGTAGGGCCTAAGGTCTACCTTCCTTCACCTGGTTGCTCAGGGTTCCTGTTTCTCCCAACCCTCCAATCTATATCTGGGCTCTGTCCTTCTGGTGTGTGTGTGGAGGGGGGACCTGATGACCTCTCGACCCTGGCTACCAGGCTTGGGGTATTTGTTTCTTCTCCCTCTATTTCCATATTTTTCTTATCCGTCCCCTGTTTCTCAGGAGACCCCACTTTCTTTCCCTTCCTGATGGTTTGTTGTCCTAGGTCCAGTGTTTACCAATCCATATCCTTCCAGTTTCAGTATTTCTCTCCCCCCACGCCCCGCTCAGG